TCTCCGCAGCAGCACGGGCACATGCACACGTGGACACACACAAACACGTATGCACACATCAAGTTAAACGTGTGCGCGTTCTATATCCAACCCACTCGCGGCACAACAGAGATGGGAGAGAATGGCCAATCTATAATCATTAGGAGCGGAAGAGAAGAGATGGCGGAGAAAGAAAGCTACAGTGCTGTCAGCGAGGTGTCGGGATAACAAGATTAGACCTTGTATGATTCATCTGTGGCCGTGGCATTCTGCTCCTCACCCGCCTACCACCATCCCTGTCGGTTGGTGTACTCAATCTTTATACCTTGCTTTCTCTGCCTCTTTGAGTCCTGAGACTTCATTTTAAATGATGTGCATTCAAACTCCTCTGAATGAAACGTTACCTCATGTTTGTTCAGTTCTGATTTGGTTATAGAATGAAAGGAAAAACGTGTTTCTCCTCTTTGGCCTTCTCTTTAAGGCCATCTTCTGTAATATCTCTGTATTCTCTGGCCTGCCCGGTTGTTCTTACAAGCAATGTCCTTAGCACTTCAATTATTTGCTTCAGGGGGCAATTATACTGCTGGCTTCTCCATCTCCAAACTGTCTTTCTCTCACCCACATTTTCAACTGGATTGTTATGACTGACATCAAGGACAGTCAACAAAACCAAAAGTAACCCCATCGTGCTGAAAAACCCATCAAAACTACTGTAGCTGTGTAGCGATATCTACTTCACAAAACATTTATCCAAGTATTCCAAAATGCATGTACACCATCCTTTCTAACCCTCACTACACACACACTCTTCCCCGCACTCTATCTCCCTTCATCCTGCTCTCCATCCCTCCTCTCCCTCTCTTCCTTTCTCTCGCTGGGCTGGGGGACAGTAGAGTGACTTTGAAGTTGTGCTGCTTCAGGAGGAGAGAGAGTCACTTTGGCTAATTAGTTGTTCTTATCCCAACAGCAGCCGCAGCCGCCATCAGCTTACTGGCTCAGAGGGGAGAGACAGAGCAGGCATCAGCAGCAACCACCAACTGCTGCATGCTAAAGATACCCTCCCTCCGCTAGTTGTTAGTGCTAGCGGCTAGCAACAATTTAACCCACCCTGAGACTAAACTGCGGATTACTGAAGTTGCCCCACTCAGCATAATGATAGTTAATATGGTATGAAAAATGGTACAGAAAATCCTTTGCTCTCAGGGGAAGCTTGTCAGACCATAGTTAACTGCAGTGGCAAGATACTACTTTTTTCCCACCATGTCATCAATATGACCATCAGTTTAACAGTAGGTGTTCAAAAGCAGTGCACAGGGAGATTTGGTCAGGCCAAGAAGAAATAGTGTCTGCTTTAAACATGAAATAAAAGACACACAAGAGCAGGTCAAAGATAAAAATAACATCACTTCATTAAAATAAATAATTGAACATTGCAGCAGTGCAAGAAGGTGGGTGAGATGTATTCAAATTAGCGATTAAATTGAGACATTTTACATGTTGGCTTTTGTTTTCTAAAACTAAAATACTGCAGGAGAACTATGTTTTATGTGCCGGTTCCAAAATGCTGGAAACATTTTCAAACCATCACAAGCTCTAATTATCAATGTTCCTGAATGTTTTTCTGAATCTAACAAGGTTAATTTCTTTATTCAATTTTCAAGAACATGCAAGCACCTTTTTGTGAAAGTGGCCAAGAAGGAGGATTTCACCTACTCATCATATGTGGTGTAATACAAATGACTTGGCCGCACCATATGTGTGAATGTTAATAGTTCAAGAACAAAACTCACTCCTGACATACGAGTGGAGGAGTGGTGTACCTATTAAGGCGTCAGTGTTATCTTGTATCAGCAGGGTTTCTCACAGCATGTCCATCCCTCTCTCCTGAGGCTTGCTCTCTTTGCCCTCCCTCCCACAGTCCCACAGCATAGTGGCATGGCAGCAAGAGAGAAAAAAGGGCTGGCTTCGATTCAGAAACATTAACTTTTCCCTAGAGAAACACACACACTCACACATGCAGTGTTGGTTCTGGCCTTCCCCTTGTATCGGATCGCCGCGCTCCATTCTGTTTGGCCTCAGAGCCAATGACTGCTGACATACTGTCATGTGTGCACATACTGCGTATTCTCTTTCTGTCCGTTTCTCTCTCATCATTTCAAACATGATGGGCAGCCACATCCCACAGACTCATATCATTATTCAGCTTACTCCATTGTAAGGGTTTCTAGAAGTGAATACAAAAAAATGTGCTCTTTGAAGTAGTCAAGGCTCATTCCTTGGTAACAAACTGACATAAAGTTCATAGACTAATTTATTATCCGTGACAATTCAATGTCTTTTCGGTCCGTAGTGTCGCAGCCTGTGGGGCTTTGGACTATAGAGTTCAACATTAGTTATACAAAGTTCAACACAGTGAGCGGAGGCAAGACTCTGCCAGATTCGGAGATAATTAATTCAACCCATCTCCTCGTCTCCACAGACCCCTGACTCCCAAGGCCAGTCGGGGGAGGGACAGACGTAGAGGGACGACGTGTGTCATGGAGGACGTGCACATACATATGAATAAGTGTGTGCCTGTATGACAAATGTACACACACTCGAAATGCGAGTGTACGGCCCATATGTGTGTATCAGTGTGTGTCTGCATGCGTTGCACACACACCTGTCCAGGAGAGTCAAATTCTCCCCTAATGGCACCACGGGGACCCAAGACATTAGCATATTAAAAGGTGACATTTCACAGTGTGAGTCTTGCAGTGGAGTGCAACGCGATCACTCTGACAGTCTGACAGCCACACAGGCAGGTCTGAGAACAGACACATGATACTGTGCAATGCCACACTATGGGAATATGCTAAAGTGGCTGGGATTCAGAAAACACCTGTCCAGGCACTGTGGGGTTCCACTGTTATCTTTAGTGTACAGTTTTATAGAGAACTTTTACAATGGACCTCACAAAAAGTGTTGACTAATCGGTCAAGTCTCATAATTTATTAAAGATGCAAAATAAATCGACACATAGGCTTTGAGATATTATTATCTCAGAGCAAATGAACAAATCAATATACACACACACTGTACACACAAACAGAGAAATGCTGACACTGCAACAATACTGCATGTGAACAGTATATCAACTAGATTTCCAAACGACTGAACAATACGTGTGATTCATTGGGTGACAAACAGCACAAGCATTGCTCATCATAGCCACACACACTAGATATAAAAAGGAAAGACAGACAAAAAAACCTACACTACATCAGGTGTGTCCTCATTAAAACGTTGTATCGACTTATTGATCAGTGTAAGTACCTCCACAAATAAAAATATGAAAGCACCACTTTAAATATTCTGTCTACCAGAGATGTCATCATAACCTAAAGAATGACAAAGCAACTTAAGGACGTTTTGGTCTGCAGTTTTATTCTTAGCAACATTTTCGACTAAGATGAGGCAGCCGTACAGAACAATGATTTGTAAAACTCAGTTTGAAAAACTGACATGCAGAATTATTGTGATTGATTCAGGTTTTTGGCATCCACTCTCAAAGTCACAAGAAAAGTGTCTCTTTTCAGAGGACCTCCCACCATCCAGACGCACACATGCAACACGCACGCACAAACACACCAGCAGCTGAGAGAACAGTGACAATGGCTGAGTTCAGTAATTGGCCCTGAACTGCTGCTTCAGCAAAAGTCTTGGTCCTGTCGGAAAGCTGTCAGCGTTTGGCATTCTTAAAATCATTTCATCTGCAGGACAGCACCATGTGAAACACCTGGCTGGAGGACATTATCCCGCTACCTTCCTCTCTGCTGTCACATGTTACGTCAACTACTGCTGCTAAAACTAATAATACTCCTTCAGTGCTGAGGCAACTGAAATGACCCGTCTTTCCCTCGTGGAAGCATTAGACTGCATGTGGTGCCAATACGTGAAAGAGAGCAACTTAGGGAGTAAGACAGCGATGAGTGAGGGAAAGTCGGGGAGACACTGACGCAGCAAGAAGCTGATTAATACCGACTGTTTATCAAACAGCAATATTTGAGCACTCAGCACAGAGAGCATTTCATCTGTGTAAGTGTAATGATGCTGCTGAAGAAGTGATACAAAATGAGGGATTTTCCATTTGCAGATAACCTTTACTGTGAGTAAACCCATCTGCAGCCACTCTTCCAGCTCATAAGCAAGCAATTACAGTAGGCGCTCCTCTCTGCGTGTGTCCTGAGAAAGACCATTTTCAGGTTGTAGCATCTTGTTGTCCTCCATCTTGCCGCTCTTTTTGCTTTCTTTACAACAATTCCATCAACTCAAGGGCCAATTTTTGCAGCATGGCAATTTCGCGCGGGCACTGAATAGAGCTGCCCAGCAGGAGCCCGGGGACGTAATAAGAAAAAAAATCCCTATCGTATCGTTCAAAACCGCGCTGTGTGGAAAACAGCAACATTATGAATAGGAGTGTTTCACCAGGACAATTTTGAAGCGCTTCGGAGTGAGGGTAAAGTAATTATAATTTCAGAAAGCTGCGTTATTGTTGTGTTACCCAAAGGTTTCTTGGGGGCTTTGCCTCCTGGCAGGGGAGCTAAACAGCTGACTACTTCAGTTCAGTATTTGAAAAGGATGGAAATCAGCTGCTTCAAAGGACCCAACCTGTGATTTCACTCTTCATGAGGCTTTTGATGTAAGTCACTCATATTTTAACCATTTGCAAGATCAGCCAATGATTTAAATATAAACTCCAAACCCACTCAAGCTGTCCTTGTATTTTTCTCATGCATCTTTTTTTTTGTATGTGTGTGCACGCTGATTGCAATTTTAAGTATAAAAGATGTTGATCTTTGAGGGACATTCAGTTACAGTACAACTTTTGTGTTGCTTTTGTCAGCCAAGTCGCTTACTATTAATATTTAGGAGAGAGAGGAATGATCAAACACCCAAAGACTTGTACTTCATAAGAGGTTAAACCGTACTACTTCAAACCTTATTTGTTAATCTGAAAGATCTGAAAGCTGTGACCTTACCTTCATTAGTACTGACTCGCTGAGTTTCTCACGGTTGACAATCTTTATGGCGACTTTCTGGCATGTTACACAGTGGATTCCCAGCTTGACCAACCCTGTGAAAACAGACAAGAAACACACATTTTAGTAGGTCAAACACTTGCAGGACTGACAGTAAGACAACGTGTGATCAGATGACACCAAGATAGCAAAGGATGCATCATTAGGCACTGGAGTGAATTTACAGTGCATTATGCAATGACATTTCATTAAAATGATGTGTGAAGAAAACAACATGTTTCTTTAGCTTATTACTTATACAAACTGATGTCTAACGGCAATTTACATAATGCTGATAATGACTTCTGAAGTGTGGACAGTTCCTTAAAGAAACTGCCCTCTGGGGTGTATTTAAGTCATAAAGGCAGTACGTAAGCAGGCCATTTGTGTTATTGATTCCTTGTACTAAATTGCTTGCATGCAGTTGTGTCGAGTTAACTCAAACAGACAATGAAAGCTAGTGTTAACACACAAAGGTCAGTCTTTCAATGGGATTCATTATTGGCCACCGCTCCAAAATTACAAGAATGACGCAACAATGCACTAAAAACTGTAGGAGTGTATATCAGTAAGACACTTTTTACACACATTTTAACAATCCTACGAAAAGTGCTCCCTTTGCTTTACAAGACTAACATCAATGCATGAAAATAGATTTGATAGTTTGACACGCAGCGCCAGTCAGCTCTATTGGGATTCACACAGTTCATTTCTGCACTCGCGTTACTGACGAAACAAAACCCGCACTTCATAAATCCTGTAATTCGCCACAGAACCACAGAAGCAAAACCCTGCTTAAGTGTCCCCAGGTATCCCAAGTTAAACTATCAGCCACAAACACTGTAGAAAACAAGCAGGGATACCCCAATGAGTACACAGTTACACTGGAACAAAGTGGTGTGTATTTGATACAGGGGAGCCATGACAACAGCACCAATCCATTTTCTGCCAGGGACCACAGAGCTGCACACACAATCGAAAAATGTTTGCATCAGATAGTTTACTTACAAGCTAAGACAAACACACACCCAAACACAAACAAATAGCGGGTCTCTATTATTGATTTCCCCAATGGCCCCACGGTGCTGCCGGGATTTGGAGACGTTAGAAGACGATTTTTGACTCAGAAAACTACAGCATTTGAGCTCTCCCAATGGCTGGCACACAGAATTTATAAAAATACGGACGTGGAATAATTTGAAGGCTTTGATTTCTTGCCACTCCCGTGCTGGCAGAGACGTAGATGGTGGGATTAAGTTAACAAGTGTAACAACGATGTGCCTAAGACCGAAATGGTTCAGTTACTATAAGAAGCATGTTGCTGCAGAGAAGTAACGTCCCTCATCAAACAGACATGATTCAGACTTTTAGCTCGCTCTCCCACTTTGATCTCTATATTAACCGGCAGAAGAGGAGAGTCAATGGACTTGGACAAGTGGGGGGAGATAAGTATGCATAACCAAGCTTTCCTGACACAACAGAAACAACATCGATTCAGGAGGGGAATGAGCAAAGGCAGATAGAGTATGAGACAAAGAAACGAAGTAAACAGAAAAGAGAACGTGGAAGATGAAGGGATAGATAAAGTGAAAAAGATTGAGAATCAGGAATAGAACATTATTCAAATGACAGGCCACAGATAATTAAGCAATAATGGAGAGCATTGAGTGGGCGTGAGGCTCTGGCTTGGGAGATGAGGGGCCGCGGGGGCCGAGAGTGGAGACACATGGAGGAGAGGAGGCGTGAGAGAGAGAGAGAGAATGACGGAGAGCAGACCAAGAGATAGGAAGGAATCAAATTCTAAAAAGAAGAATATAAAATATGCAGAAAGATTTAGAAAAAGGGGATAAAGCAGTTGAGAAGGAAGGGGAACAACAGACAAAGCCATTAGCCCTGTGATGGTAATCATATGTTAATGGCTGCTATAGAGAAGCTCATAAGTCATGATAAACACATTAAAGAGAAAATATCTGCCTGCAAACACATGAAAAGTTAACTGGATTATTTGCCTCTCTATCCATCTTGCTACAAGGCCTGTGTTGTTGCAAACTGAGGATGCATTAGCAAGGGGGAAATGTGCAGGGGAAGACAGCACATTAGGATTTTACAACCACTTTAAGGATTGGAATGAACTCTCACAAGAAAGTTTAGTACATAATACAAAGGGACACACAAGACATAAGCCTCTTTTACACCACACACATAAAAGCCATGACTTCAAACAACAATAGCACTAATGGAAATGGTAAAAACACATTTGAAAAACATTAACTTAAAAGCTCAAGTCATCATTTGTAGTCACTGGTGGTGAAAGAATAGCAGGCATATGCTCCTCGATAAACTTAATTCCTCACCTATTCAGACCCAGCAGCAATGCAGCATTACAAATCTGTCTAACAGGAGCTTTTTGGATTCGGATCTGTTCATATTATGGGTGTTGCGTGCATACATGCTGTTGTTTGCCAAGACTTGTCCATCATTGTTACAGTACATTTACAGTATCTTCCTACAAGCATGGCTCAGCCTCGACACCATTAGCGCATTTTAATCATTTCTAAACCACCATCATCACCTGAAAGAAACTAAAACAATATCCTAATGGATAATACTCAATGATTCCTCCCTGCTAACGTTCAACCCCAACTACCTCTTCTTACATCCTCTTCCCACAGGAGAAACACGCAATCAAATAAACAAAACATTCTCACAATAATTGTATTACGGCTTGTATCATGTATGTTGTTAGTATCTAATCCACCTCTGACTCTCCATGACCCATATAATCAACCCTGCCTCCCATTTTCTCTAATATTCTGTAATGAGGTGATTGCCTGATACTCCCTGTGCCCCTTTCACCTGTCTGTGACTACACACCAGAGGACACTCTCTCTCAGCTCTGAGTGAACATGCTGAATCTGGAGTGGCAAGGCTTGGGGGGAGGGATGTCCAGGAGATGCCCTGGAAGACACAGGGGTTTCGTCTGGATCTGGCTGGGAAGAGCAGGTATAGGCTGTCTTTGAACACAGCTTCAAACGCGAGGCTTTGACTGAGAGCACAAAGGATCCGAGCCTCGCGGGGGAATACAGAGAAGATTAAGGCTGCAGTTGCCAGTGTCCGTGCATGATTCTGTGTGTGAGCCAATGGATTACATTTCAAATTGATGTTATGTAGTTGCATGAGGATAAAAGATAAAAATAACTTTTTCAAACTAGTGTTTATAGACACGCATGCTAAATGTATTTGGATGGTTTCTTTGTACGTTTAAAGCCGTTGCATTGCACTATGTACTGAGTGTTACATGTATGTCATCTATTAACTGGACCATGGAGACACTTGCGGCCCGGTATTGTCACATACGGTACGCTTATATACTTTTCATTAACACACATATGGACAAAAGCAGGCAGTGCAGTCGACCTCAGTTTGCAACGCCACTGAATCAGCGAGTGCATCGATCTCTCCTCTACTTCCTCCTCCTCCCAGATCAATAGCACCAAAAGCTCTCGCCTTCACAACAATGTCAGAATAATGACACCAGCCTGGGACTTATGGGCCACCATCGACTGACCCGAGGCCTCCATCCCGGCTCTGGACTCTTTACTTTCCATGCCACTCTGTGATTAATGATCGCTTAATGATTGAGGGATCGCTGGAGGAAGACACAGAAGGTCCATGGCTCAGTGAACATCAAGAGCTGAGAAAAGTTTGGCTGCCACGTGCTGAAAGCTGCTGTATTGCTTTAAAGTAATGGTTTCAATCATTTCCACTGCTGGCTTTGACAAATCAGAGATGAATAGTGACATTTTTGGATAAAAGCTCAGCTGACTGCGTCCAGAGGCGGCCATTTAGGAGAGACAGGCTGGATAACTGACAATCAGAATAGTCAATGAAAGAAAGTGACAAAAGGAAGAGAGAAGGAAAGAAAAACATGCCGGGAAACCATGACTGTGCGCTAACTCATTACTAATGAAAACAGTTCATTAACAACAATATCTGCACAGAGTTGTAAAAATGTAATCAACTCTTTTTTTAGAAAAACATTCTGGCTGTTCCACTCCTGCTCTGCATCATTGAGCCATGTGCCAGCACTGACTTCATAATGAGCTTTTTGTCTCACTTCACTGTCTCTTTACAAGTGATTGTGTTTCATATCACAGCTGAACTTGCAGTGTCAGGATATATTCATGACAAGCGCTGATGTATTTGAACTTTTTAAATATAGGAACTTCCTGTCAAAGATATATATAAGTCATGTTGCTTTGGGCCTTGGGATTTAAAGAATATGTTCAACTTTACACATACTGTACAGGGGGCCTTTTTTGTGTACTTATCACCATCATTTTATATTATAAGATGTTGTCAATTACATGTGTTATAGCCAAGTTGAAAGAAACATCGGATCTTTGTGGTAGCAGCAAGGCAGTTTTTCTGAATGAGCTTTAGTAGACTATAAAGTAAGAGCTTTGCGCTTTTTTAAATATTTTGGGAGCTTCGAGGGGCCGAGTTGCTGGCATGTTTATGTTTGCCTTCCTCTGCCTTCCCTTAAAGCTGTTTATCCTTGCAGAGCAGCCAGAAAAACCCTCAGTCCCAGTGCAAGTAAACCTGTCTCCTTCCGTGTTAGTGAAAGCTCTTCCTGCTCATGCTTCTGAAGCATGCCGATCAGAGATGGATTTATCATCTGGCAGTGCTGGGACATCCAGGTAGGAGCAGGAAAGACCCTGACTGGAAGTCCTATTTCCCCTTCCATTCATCTGAGACGAATGAGAGCCGGGGAGAGGAACACCCTGCTTGAGCCTAGGCTGTTTATGATATCCTTCTAAGTTCTAATCACACACACATCTACAGAGCCACACACACGCAAGGTTTTCAGCGTCATCACAGCACTGGCATTCATGCGGTTAAAGATCATTACTGGATAGCTTAGTTTCCATCTGGAAGCGACTACTAAGAGAGGAGAGAGGAGGATGAAAAGAGATGTCTCCACTTGCGCACCTCTCTCACTTTTAAACTTGATCTTTCAGAAGCCCTAAGCCAATGCCGGCAGATGGTAGTAGCT